TGGCAGCACCAACTAATACATGCACTGAGTATACTCATATACCTGTTTTCCACAAGCACTTTGCCCATTTGTCACTTGCCTCTTTTGTCATCTCTACCAGTCTGATCAGAAGGAAGGACGAACAACAAGGAATAAAGTAGGACATGAAAGTTGCTCAATTTAATTTATATTTCTCTAATTATCATTGATTTACAGCATTTCTTCTTATGATAGTTGATAACTTGGGTTTACTGATTTGAAAACTGTCTGTGTGTATCTTTTGATCATTTATCTTTTGGGGGAAATGGCTCCTGGTCTTGTACATTTGAGTCAATTCTTTATGTGTCTTGGAAATGAGTGAGAGACCTTTTTCAAAGAAATGGCAAAAAAAAAAATTTCCAGTTGCCTCATAGCGTTCTAACTTTAGATTTGTTTATGCATAAATCACAGGCTCAATCTCTATTCCTATCTCACTCTCCTTGCTTTTACTCATCCTATATTCCAGTCAAATTGGATGTAAAAGTGTTATGTATTTCTGCCTCCATATCTTCTTTCATACTCTTCGGTGTCTAATGCCTTTACTGTGGATTCCAAGTCCTACCCATCCTTCAAGTCCTCGTTCAGATGAAGTAATCCCTGATCATCCTACCCAGAAATAAGCTCTCCACTCCCTGAACTTACACAGTACATTAACTTTTCCCCTCATGGCGCTTCTTCACATTGTTGCTTATGTTAATGGTTATTTGTATATGTCCTATCTTACCTATGAGATTGTAAGCTCCACAAGGACAGGAAAAGACCTCCCTTGTCTCTCGTGTAGCATCTCACATTTGGTAGGTACTAGAAAAGTATTTGTTGAATGAAGTAAGGAATGAAAAAAAAAAAGATTAGCATGTGTGTGCAAGGCATGTTGTGAGTGTAGCGTGGTACCATCATAAGCAAATCAGATATTTAACTTCTCCAACATAGCTATTTAATTTGGTCCTGACACAGACATCATACACAGCTTCCTGAGTGATCTGATTGGCCGTTACCCTCCACTGCACTGCATACCAGATGTCAGGAAAGCCATTAGCTATTAGCACAGCAAGGAACCAAGTACTGCTAAACTGGAGGGGTGAAAATGTAGCCACCGTAGCTGATAACCCTGAGAAATGCACCAGCCTTCTCTCATCGCAAGCAGTACATGACGTCAGGGATAGGCATGGCTTCCATCGCTGCTGCTTAGAAGCCTGCAACGTACTTGGAAGTGATGGGAGGGAGATGACAGGTAGGAGTAGAGCAGCTGTAGTGTGCAGACAAGTGGGCATTCTGGGTCACTGGGAGTCTTTGCTTTTGCATCTCTGGGTGTAAATGTAACCCTGAGATTTATGGGCCTATATCTAAAGCCAGGGTGTCTCAAGTTTAGGACATTAGAGGAATTTGCTTGGGCTGAATCTGTGTCACAATCTTAGTAATAATCATAGCTATCATGAATATTGCACTTTAGCTTTGCAGAGCATGTTACGTATTATTTAATTTGATCCCCATAGGTAGGTACTCTTATTATCCCCTTTTTATGGCTGAGGAAACTGAGTCTGAAAGAGGTTAAATGACTTGCCCAGGGTCAATACAGTAAGTGTCTGGGGCATGATTTAATCCTATTTCTTCTTGGTTCCCAAGTCCAGTTATCTATCAGTATGCTATATAGCTTATTGGAAGCTTCATTTTCTGACATTATAGTATGTACTAATATTTGTGAGGCAGTTGAGTTCAAATCTGGCCTCAGACACTTACTAGTTGTATGACCCTGGGCAAGTCACTCAATGTCTGTTAGCCTTAGTTTGCTCATTGATAAAATGGGGATAATAATGGCACCTCCCTCCCAGAGAGGTTGTGGATCAAATGAGATAATATTTGTAAAGTGCTTAGCAGTGTCTGACACACAGTAAGCACTATATAAATGTTAATACTCATATTCATTTCCCAACCGTAGTGCCTCCCCAAAACATCGACTTGGTTAGCTTCCTGTTTGCCCAGGGTTGCCTGGGAGGCTTGGACAGAAAGACTTCATTCCTACTCAGATAAGCTGCTAGAGCCTGGGGTGTGGAGGCCATGTTCCTCCCTGAAGCAGGGCCTCTGGGAAAATGTACATTGTTTAAAACAAACGAAAAAGAAACAATCCTGGGCTTGACCTGAAAAATGCCATTACCAGACAACCCTCAGGAACTGGGTAGTCTTTCTGCCTCTCTAGCTGAGTAATTTTTCAGTTCTCCTGAGACTAAATAAAAAGAGGTTTCCTCTTAAAATTTAGAAACTTTGTGGTGACACCTTCTGGTTGCCGCTAGGTTGACATCTGTCTCTCATTTCCTAAATTCGTAAATCCTAACACTTTGACTTTATCAATTATGAGCTTAAATTCTTTTTCATCATTTGCTTTTTTAAAGTCTTACCTTGGATCAAAATATTTCACAAGATAAGTCTGGTTAAAACCTATTAAAGTTAGAAATAAATGATCAAAGTAAAAGAGATGACAAAAACAGCGATATGTGAATAAATTGGGGCAAAGTACAGTAAAATAATTAAATCCGCTGGTTAAACATTAAACTATAGCTTTCTATGTCTTTTTAAAAAAAAGCCTTTAGTATGCAATAGGTCCTCCATTTGTCTAAGTCATTTAGTTTACGCAATTTGATATTGAGTTCATAAGATTTTGGCAAATGTTCTTTCACTCTTCATCATAAAACCACACTTTTATCACATTGGATGCTAAGCGCAGCTTTGATGAGGAGGGTGTAAATCAGGGGAGTTCTTGGACCACTGAAGCATGTTACCTCTTTCTCTAGGCTTAGTCTGTTTAATTACATGTGGCATTATCCAAGGTGATGAAGCAATATTTCATGACCATTTGGGAATTTCTGTAATTCTGGAACAATTCTGCTTCTCATTTATATATGTATGTGTGTATGCATGCATGCGTGCATGTATGTATGTATGTATATATAGTAATTTAACTTTTTTAAAAAATTCCATAACCCTATAGCATAAGACTTTTTCCTCCCTTCTCATTAGGTTATTTAGTGAGAGAATTAGAATTTACACACACACACACACACACACACATGTACACACATATGCATACATATATAAATTTATATACATATAATAATAAGATCAAATAATTTACATAGAGTGAGAAAGAGAGAGATTGAGGTCTTGAATGTGACCCCTTAATGTTTCCTTATGGAGAGCCAAGAGCCTCTGCGGTATCAAGTTCACTTTTGTGGAAGTGTCTTAGTTGTCTGTCCCATTAGTTGGTCACTCCCTGATGTAGGATACCTTCCTCAGATCTAGCAATGTTTAAAGTCGCCTCCCTCTGCCTTCCTGTCCCCTCCTGCTCCTCACTGCAGCTTCCAACACCTCCATTTCCTCCCATTCTAGACAGATGTGAAGAGTCATTTCTCACATATAGTTCAAAGGGTACCTGTATTGGCAGCAGGTCTCAAGACTTCATGGAGAACAGAAGGTACAACCTAGGATAAAGACCTGGGACAAAGTCTAAAGGGACTATCAAAAGGCGAAAAACAAACTTGGAGGCAATTTCAGCAAATAACAATCAGAGGCTAAAACGATAACTAGTGTTAGAACCAGAGGCTCAGTCTTAACAGAGCAAGATTCAAAAATTCCAGATGGGGGCATTAAAGTCAGACTCTAGTCCAAGGCTAACAAGTCTCCTAGAGTATTAGAGCTAGCAGGAGCGCTGAATCCAGCCTTCTCATTTTATGGATAAGGATCTGAGGCCAAAGGATCTGACTTGCCCAAAGACACACAACTTGTTACTAGCAGGGTCAAGACTAGAGCCTAGATCTCCTGTCTCTCATTGCAGTGTTCTCTCCATTTTGCAATATGAAACTCATACAATTTTAGAGTTGGAAGGGATCTGAGAGGTCATCCAATTTAGCCCCCTTCATTTTGCAGATGCATGAATTGAGAATTCAAGGAATCAAGTGACTTGTCCATAGTCACATGGGTGGAAAGTAATATTGGAAATAGGATACTAAGCTAGGTCTCTTGCCTCCAGGGCCAGTGCTCTTACCCCCACTAGAGGAAAACATCATCAGCATTACTAACTTTTTTTTTTTGCTTTTTTTGGTGAGGCAGTCGAGGTTAAGTGACTTGCCCTGGGTCACACAGCTAGTGTCAAGTGTCTGAGGTCTAATTTCAACTTAGGTCCCTTCTGACTCCAAGGCTGGAGCTCTATCCACTGAGCCACTTAGCTGCCCCTACCATTACTAACTTTTATATAATGCTTTATTTAATGCTTTTATATAATACTTTACATATGTTAATTCATTTGAAACATTGTAGGAAAGGAACATGGTAACCCATTGAGCAGCTCACCAAGCTGAGAAAGGCGTGGAAGGTTTAGCCTGCCCAAGGACTGGGCATCACTAGAGTTCTATAATACTTAAGGAAATTCATTGGTCCACATCCTCCCAACTCCTCCCCCTGTGCTGAATGGAAGCCTGTGGATTTTTGAGTGCTTTTATGAAAAGGTGCTTCTAGATCCTTCTCATCTTTTTCCCTCCCCACTCTTTTCTAGTTCATTGCTTTAGTAGTGACACACTGTTAGATAAGGACATAAAGAGATCAGAGACTATATGAATTCACCAAGAGATGCCTCTCGACGCCTTTTAGCTATTGTACCCAAATTAATGGTCTCTTCCTGTTGGGTCCTGCTGTCAGAAGTCCACTGACTTTGTACCGAATCAGAGCGGTGAAGTGAATCATTCTGGAACACTCTTGCAATCATCCCGTTGAATCGGGCTCCCTCCTTCTGGACACCGACAGGATCAAGTAGTCTCTGATTTAATACCAAGTCCAGTGGCTACACTGCAGCTGCGCCCTACCAAATTAAGCTACATGTTTCCCCTTGAATTATACAATTTCCCAGACTTACTTCTCAAGCCACATGAGTGGCTGTGCCCCTTCATTGGAGCCCCATACCTAAGTGTACCCTGTTTCTGACTTTGTTTTTTCAGGAATGAGCTGGAGCGACAGTTTCTTGAACTGCTGCAGTTTAACATCAACGTTCCTTCCAGTGTTTACGCCAAGTATTATTTTGATCTTCGTTCCCTGGCAGAAGCAAATAATCTCAGCTTTCCCTTGGAACCCCTCAGCAAGGAAAGGGCTCACAAGCTTGAGGTGAGACGCTTAAGAACAAAACAAAACACAACACCACGATGCGTTGTTAGGGACGCATCCAGTGCATTCATTGTCAGCACTGAACATGGATGAGGAGGAAGATTTTTCAAAGTATGGTTTGTTGTCAAATAAAACCAAAAGTAGTTACTAGTATGGTATGTTCTTACAGTGTTCATGGCTGCTTGGCCAAAAGTGAGGTTAGGAGCTTTGAGATCCATGCATGTTTAAATAGATATCTGACCCAGATTCTGATCATTTTCTCAATATCATCCCTTATTTAATGTGAATATTTTATCTGTCTGTCTGTCTGTCTATCTACTGGGATTCTCCATCTTCCATAGACTGGAAGTACAGAGGCTACTCATGGGTCTAATCTCACTGATTATTATCATGGGAACTTTGACCAATTCCATTCCTGGTTTAGGCTGGGTAACCCTCCTTAGGCAACTTTGTGTCCTTCTAGTCCTAGGGGCTTAGCATATTGATGCCAAACTTAGTGTAGATGCTTGATTGGCTTTAGCTCTACTACATCTCAGATCTTCCTAACTTAAGAGATCCACCAACCTTAGTACCTCTTAGCTGAGGTCATATGTGTCCTCCATCATGCCCATCTAGTGTGACTATTTCATTTGGAAATCACAGAATTATAGAATTTTAGAGTTGAAAGTGAAGTCAGTGGGTATCTAGTCTAACCTGTATCTGAAAAAGAATGCCCACTATGGTATTATTAAAAAGTGAAGTGGTCATTAAAGCCATTCTACTTTTCAGTAGCTCTAATTGTTAGGAAGTGTTTTTTTAACCTCATCCCAAATTTGTCTCTCTGTAATTTCAAGTAATTCCTACAGGTTCTTCCCTCAGGAGCCGTTTAAAGCAAGTCTTAATTTCTTCTATACATAAAAAACCTTCAGATTCTTGGAGGCAGCTTTCATTTCCCCAAGTTTACTCTTCTCCAGGCTGAGTATCTCTAGTTTCTTTCATCAGTAGCCTTTAAACCAATTAAGTGTGTAACCCTTGGCCTCATAGTCAAGTTAAAACACCCAAAAAGCCACCTAAAAAGATTTTCCAGCAAAGAGAACCATCACCGACTCTTCCTAACATGTCTAGAAAAGTTAAATTACATAGAGAGAAAACTTGGCACCAGAGCTGTAGCTTGGACTTTCCTATTTCCTTGACATCATACTACTGAGAGATAAAGGTCAGTTCTCTTTCTCTTGGACTCAGTTTGGGGCCTGGGTTGGTCAAGCCCATTCCTAAAGTGACTCATGACCCCAGTTCTGAAGATGACTCATCTTTATGATGGGAACATGAACTTCTCTCTGTTCCCCTAAACTGGCCAACGTATGTGCCCCTTTGGAAAAGTTGAGGGAGAAGAACAGAGAAAGGAGAGGAGGGAAGGGGAGAAAGGGAAAGGGAGGTGAGAGGGTCTTACTGCAGTTTTGATATTCTGAGAGGCAGGTACCAGAATCAAGCAGCCCTAGTGAACTGTTGAACTCTTCCCTCCCTTCTCCCTGACTTTGTCACCTCGACTAACTGTAGGCCAAGCTGGTCTAGAGTTTTAGGCATGGCCAAAGACATCAAGACCCAACACTATTTCACTCAACTAATGTACAATTCCCATGAAAATGTTATTTAGTACATAGATAGGAGCAAAGGTGATCTGCAGAGAGTTCCGAACTGCAAATCAAACAAAATATGAGAGTACTTCAGTATTTTTAGAAATTGAATAAGGGAATAATGAAGTGGTTAAATAATTTCAATAGAAAATTTATTAACAGGCAGCTAGGTGGTGCAGTGGAGAGAATGCTGGACGTGGAATCAGGAAGACTTAAGTTTGAGTCCTGCCTCAGACACTTAGCAGCTGTGTGACCCTGAGCAAGTCACATAACTGCCGTCTGCCTCAGATTCCTCAACTGCAAAATGGTAACAATAATAGTACCTACTTCCCAGGGTTCTTGTGAGGATCATATGAGATAATATTTGTAAAAAGTACTTAGTAGAGTACCTGGCACATAACAGGTGCTTAATATATGCTTATTCCTTTATTAAGCTCCTACTATGTGGTAAAAATACACACACAAAAATAAAAAGTCCCTGTTCTCAAAGAATTTACATTTTACTGAGAGAAGTCCCAGAGAGCTACAAGGTACTTCAGAGGGTACCTAAGCCAATCCTCTCATTTTCAGAGTTGAGGAAACTGAAGCCCAGAAAGAAGGCAAGTGAGTTACTTACTTAGTGGCAGAGGCACGATCATAACCCTGGGCTCCTTACCCCCTGCTCAGTGTTCCTTCCTCTGCACTGTGGTGTGTTAGGAAAGTAAAAATGAAAAATAAAATCAAAAGTGTTAATTATTGAATTAGCAATTTAGTGAAATTGGGGAAGGGAAGGAAGGAAGGAGGGAAGGAAGAAAAAACAGAAGAAGGGAGGGAGGAAGGAGAGAAGGAAGGAAAGAGAAGGAAAGAAGGGATGGAGAGAAAGAAGAAAGATGGTACAGTGGATTGAGCCCTGACCCTAGAGTCAGGAGGACCTGAGTTCAAATCCAGTGTCAGACCAGACACTTGACACTTACTAGCTATGTGAACCTGGGCAAGTCACTTGACCCCAATTGCCTTGCAAAAGGAAAAAAAAAGAAAGAAGAAAGAGAAGGAAGGGAAGGAGAAGGGAAGAAGGTGAAAGGAAAAAGAAAGAAGGAAGGGAAGGAGGGAAGAAGGAAAAAAGAGAGGAACAAAGGGATAAGGGAGAGAAGCAAAGGAAGGATGGAAGGAAGAGAGGAAATGAAGGAAGGGAGAGGAAGAAAGGGAAGGAAGGAAGAAAGAAGGGACTCCAGGCCAGTGCTCTATCCAGTGCCACCTTACTGTTCTATCTTATGACAAAGAAATAGTAGACTCTTAAGTACGGAATAAGGCTTACATTCTCTGTCAAACCTAGTATATTGACTTATTTTTCCTAACTGTTTATGTATTTAATTCATTCATTCATTCATTCATTCTTCAAGCAACTATGCAATTATCTTCGAGGCACTCTGCTTGATGCATTCCCTTAATCGGACCAACACTATTGAATAGGTTTGCTTCTACCTTATGAAATCTTTTCTCATCTGGAATTCCTGACTTTCTGCCTAACAGTGTTACAGAAATATACTGTCGTTATTATTATTATTTTTATCATTGAAAGTTCTTAGTAAATATTTGTCAAATAGAGTCATTTGATTTGAACTGAGTTGGTTCACGTCTGACCTTCTCCCTCTCTCCTGGCTTGCAGGCCATCTCTCGTCTATGTGAAGACAAGTATAAGGACTTAAGAAGATCGACGAGGAAGCGGTCAGCTAGTGCTGACAATCTGGCTGCATTGAAGTGGTCTCCAGCCATCATCTCCTAACAGTGGCATGTAGGATATTCTTACAAAAATACTGTTTTCACCCCTCCTGTTTCTCATTTGGTTTGGGAAAACACAAAGACTCTGGGGTTTTTTGGTTACGTTTTTGTTTGGTTTTGTTTTTAATCCTTAGCTCCAACAAGCTACCTTTACACTGCCTCCTCACCGTGTGGCACACACGCAGCGATTTTTCAGTGGAAAGCTAAATCAGTATTTTGGAAATCCTGTCTCATGCCTTTCCCCCCCGATGTCACTAACCTTTGGCGAAGGAATGGGGGACTCTGCAGGAAGAAACAGAGGAAAAGGAAAGTAGTGTAGAGGCAAGAAAGAAAGATATAAATGACTTTGTCATTTTTTTTGAGACACCGTGCTCGTCAATAGATAAATACAAAATGAAAACAAAACAGGAGATAAACAAGTTTGGATATGCACTAAGGAAAATGAGTGGCATTGTTTTTTACCTTAACCTGAAATTCAGCTCAGTACATTCTGTTGGATTTTTTTTGCATTCCTTCTAGCTGTTTTTCAGAGTTTGGGGCATGTTTTTTTTTTTGTTGTTGTTCTTCTCTTTTGGTCCTGCAGAGCAGAGAATATAGTCTGTATCTACCATAGCACAAACATCCAAATAAATGGTATTGGTTGTTCCTCACTACACTATTCTCTGTGAGCTGTCTTCTTAGCTATCACCCTTCAGAAGTATTACACATTTCTTATGTTTCTAAATACCTGAACTGTACCTTTCATTTTTGTCCCCAACAACAAAAAAGTTACCCTGACCATAGTGCTGAACCAAAAGTATACAAAGTGATCCAACATTCCTGTGCTATTTCCTCTTAAAATTTTTCCCCACCAAAAATGGAAATTCACACAGAGTGCTTGTGCCTTCCTGTGTTCTTGGAGCGGTTTTGTTTTCTCTGACCTAAAGATGCAGATGTCAAAATACTCAGACTTTATGGGCCAAGAGGAAGCAACGGGCTGCAGAAATCTCTACTGGGTTGCGATTCCAATTCCCCTGTCCTCGCCTTCCCCTAACCAGTTAGATCCTTGCTTGAATTCACATCACAAAAGTGGTTTTTTTTGTACATCCCACCTAGTTCATTCTTTCATCTCCATTGTTGCAAGCAATATCCTCCTCAATTTTATATGTTTACTTTAAATCAAAGTTAAGTCTGTTTGTATAAAAAATTATTTTAAAAACTTAAAAAAATGGGTGGGTGGGAGGAGGGTTTCATTGGGAAGATAATTGAAGAGATGAATGTTAATTAACCTTTATTGAGGCATTTTTCACAGGTTGAATTAAAAAAAAACCCACCACCACCACCATCACCATAAACTCAACTTGTATTTTTCATTGTGGGTGCTCAGAGAAATTTAAACAAAATTCAAACTGTGAAGAAGGTTGATGTTTCATGAATTATGATTGTACCTTTTTCATTTCCTAATTATGCCTGGTTTTCCTTATGAGATAAAGCAGAATATTTTATAGTAATGTGAAGATTGAGAGGCAGCATGGTACAGTGGATAGAGGGCCAGCCGAGAGTCAGAAAGACCTGAATTCAAATGCTGACTCTGACACATACTAACTCTGAGATCATGAGCAAGTTTCTTATCCTTCTGTGCCTCAGGCAACTCTTTAATATTAAAAGTTATAGATGAATTACTGATCTGCATCCATGGAGGGAATTTCCACACCCTGGAGTTCCCTATACCAATGAAATCACAAGTCTGGACCTATACACATAAATGACATCAAAATGTATCAGGGTGGGTGGGGGGGCATGGTAATTTTGAACTCAAGTCCATGAATCTGATTCTGTGAAGTTTTTTTTTTCTTTTTATACTTTTCCTTTGGATCTGATGGCAGAGAAGAGGTCTTCCAGTCTCTCCCCATCCCACCTCTTTTTTTTTTTTTTATCAGTGATGTGAATGGCAGATTTCCTGAGTTTTTTTACATGCTTTTTTGGACTAGCTGAAAATGGAAAGATCTTCTGTTAGTTTTTTTCCCCACCTTAGTGCTGGAAGGTCATAGACCTGACCCATGAATATATTTATTCACACCTCTCAGTGAAACATGCCTTTGAAACAAATGGCCTTCCAAGAGCCACGGTACCGATTCCAGACTGAATATTCTCTATTTGCAGGCTCATGTGACTAATCCCCTCTATGGCCTGATTGTTGGCCCAGAATGATCCAGCCGGTTCTTTCTGATCTATCATTTTAAAAAAAAGAAGCAAAAAAAAGAAAAAAGAAAAGAAAAACCCAAACCTCAAAATGAAATTCCTTCTTCCCCTGATTATGCCCATTGATTTGAGATAATTTCTCTGTTCACATGCAGGTTCTATTTGGAACAGAAAACTGAACAGAGGAAGTGCTCTGAAAATATAATAGAAAGTACAAAATGTATTCCAAAAATCTATCTAGCTGAAAAAAAATAAAGGGACATATTTTCTTAGCTTCTGGAATTTTAATACCTCTCAAGAAAAATGAGTTCCTACCATAATGTAGATGGTTGTCGTCTTTTACCAAACCATTTCAGAAAAGAAGTTCTGTTATCTTTCTAACAGAAATTGTAGTTTTATCCCTTTTATTTGAATGAGAGACATATGAACTTTGAATTATGTAAATATCTCAATGCATCTGCTATAATTTTGTGGAGTTTATTAAAACTACTTTAAAGATTGTATAGTCTATTTATTGTATGTATGTACATACAGTCTGATACTTAAAATTTAAAGTGGATTCCATAAAATTTGGCTCAGTCTTGTTTAGACTATTGAATATTGTTTTAGCCTTGTGCACTGGACTCTACCTCTGTATAGGAGAATTTTCCATCTTCTTTCATTAGTACTGATTCTGTGATTAACTTGGTTATGTTTCTTGCACTAAGGTTTTATTTGAAATCTGCTGTAAGTATAGATTTTCTGTTTTCAGTTTTGCCGTAGAAATCATTTGACCTGTAGGTGAATAGTTATTTTTGGTTTATTATTTTTTTCTACATGATAATGAAAACTTGCTTTTTTTTGTTTCGATTTGTTCTGTTTGCCAAAAAAAGTACAGTACCTATTGATAAATGGTAGTGACTGTAATCTGTTTGCAAGGTGATTTAATACCATACAATTAAAACAAATTACTATTTAGGAACACACTGTCTTAGTGTAGTTTTTGGGAGCTCCTCTGACTGCAGAATTTCATCATTGATGAATGAAGGTACAGGGTGAACATGGGAACAGAGTTCATTGACTGAAATTATGACCTTGACTCAAGCAGCAAATATTTGTATTGATGCTTTTAAAATATGGAAATCATCTGTGGAATCATGGCTTCTTATTGGGGAGGGGGATAGAGGGAAGGAAAGAAGGGAATCGGGTATTGAAACTTATTTCACATTAATCCCTTTCTGGGTTTCATTCCCACCAGCTTAATTGACTGTTTGCCAAAGTAGCAGTCCCATCCCCTGGTTCCTTTGCACAAACCAAGAATCTCTATCTTCACATTCAAGAATCCTTATTTCTTTAAAGACCCAACTAAGATGTCACCTCTTTCAGAAAGCCTTTCCTGATTTCTGTAGATGTCAGTGTCCTCTCCCTTGTTATTACTGGGCTTTTGACAGGAGTAGACAATATATAAACAGGTAGTCAAATTATCTGCCCCAGTAGAATGTAAGCTTTACTTACATTTTTGTGGGTGACTATTTTTTGGTTTTGTCTTCATATTCCTGGGGTACCTAGCAACATCATCTTACACATAGTAGGTGCTTAATAAATTGGGGATGAGGAGATCAAATTCCCATCTTACAGATGAGGAAACTGAAGTTCAGAGACTTAAATGATTTTGCCTAAAGTCATACAGCAGGTAAGTAGCATGACCAAGACTTGAATCCTGGTCCGCTGATTCCAGAACTTATGTTCTTTTTACCCCATCTTGTTGTGCCAAAGTCTCCTTTATTTTCATGCCCAAATTTCTTTTAGTAGGTAGCCAAGTGATTTTGTTCTGTGTGGGAGTTTCCTTTTGTCTTTTCTTACCTAATTTTGAACCAACCCTCCCTACCCTGAAAATGTGTCTTGATATTAAGGGTACTTCACGCTGGTCTGGATGGCATCATGCCTGAAAAAGCAAATGTCAGGAGGGATCATCTTGAAGAATAGCTTTGTCTTCATCCGTGTGAGTAAACCCTGGCTTGTTGCCATGTCGCATTTTAAAACCAACTCTTTCCTATAAATTTTACAATTGTAAATTTAATGCTACCACATAGTACTTTATTGGGGGTATCCTTGAAGGATATTGATATTGAATGAGTAAATGAATGAATGAATGAATGAGTGAATGAGCAATATTTTTAAACACTTATGTGAAAAGCACCATGCTAAGTGCTGGGCATACAAATGGAAACTCAACTCTCAAGGAGGTTACATTATTACAGTAAGAGACAACACATAAGTTCCAGGTCACAACAGCAAAGCACATGGCAATGCATCTTCTTTAATCTCAATTCCATGGAATATTTATTTCTGATATCGAGCCATTTGACAGTGCCAAGAATCTTGGTGTCCAGAGCTTTGTTTTCTGGGTCTTCAGAGGCGATGGCTGTTGAGAAACATGGGCAATAGTTACAGAGACTTGCCAATGGTAGATTTGGTGGTTTAGGGGCTATGCTCTTTCTGGGGCTCCTGGGCCTTCCTCTCCAGTGGCGATTAGCTGGTGGTTGACATTGGTGTGGCTAATTCTTAATAGCAGCTCCGCCAGTTTAGTTGGCCACAAGTTCTGTTAGGCTTATGTGAGTCCCGGATGTTAGATGCTGTTTGGAAGTCTGAAGTAGAGAGTGGGTGCTTCATGGGAGCTAATGATGGTGACTTTTAGGCTGATACCCTTTGTCATCATATCAGCTGTCCTCCCATTGCTCAAGGCTTAAATTGAGGGTGTCATCTTCTAAAAAACAAAAACCATAGAGCCCTTTTTTCAAACAGGCAAGGGAGTGATATTGCATATGGTAGATGCCTAATATTTATTGGATTATATGAGTACCACCACTATGGCTACATATAGACAACTAGAATTTTAATGATATGCCCACCTCTTTCTTAAGATTACTTTTATCATTTCTACAACCATACTAAGGCCTCTTGTCAGTTCTATAACATAGGTATCAGCAAAGTTAATATTATCCCCATTTTTGTAAACCAGGAAACAGAGGCCAGTGGTAGGATACCTTTAGGGCTTAACCCTCTATTTCCTCATTTCTTTTGTTGTTCAGTCACTTTGTCATGTCTAATTCTTCATGACCCTATTTGGGCTTTCTTGGCAAAGATATTAGGGTGAGTTTGCCATTTCCTTCTCCAACTCATTTTACAGATGAGGAAACTGAGGCAAACAGAGTTAAGTGACTTACCCAGGGTCACACACCTAGTCTCGAGTCTGAGACTAGATTTGAAATCAGGAAGATAACTCATCCTGACTGCAGGCCCGGCACTCTAGCCACTGCATCACCAGCCTGCCCATCCTTATTCCTTACTGAATTCTATTTTGCGATCATTAGGTGATTGACTCTGAACAGGCTATGTGATTTATTGGGTCCCTTTCTGTAAGAAAGCACACAGGGATTAATCCATTTTTGTTCATCCCTCAAGCGAGAGAAATGATTGAAAAGTCATGTGGGATTGCAGTGCTACCACGAGCTATCCCCATCTGAAACACAAACAAGCACTCAGCCAGTGATTTATCCTAGCAGCTTGATGCCTAATCTTGAGGCAGCCTCTGCTAAAACAGTCCCAGGAGAGCCCGTTACAGTGGGAGGCAAATTCCAGCAGAGCATGGCAGTGAATAGTATAAATAAAATCAGGTCTTTAAAGATCTTGCTTTTACCTCCCACTTTATCATGCCATTTGTTATGGTTTTTTTCCCCTGTAAAATGCATTTGCCCATGGAAATTTGATATTTGAGGTATGTCCCTCCAAAATCTACCCCTCCCATACTTACTTTGTAACACATTTTATTCTAGAAAAATTATAAAATGTAAATGGGAATTTTGTATAGGCTAATATTTATGATGATGTTGGTATTAAAATATTTCATAGAAGAAAGACACTGAAATGGCATCTGTGAGGTCCTAGCTCTACCACTGACCTGCTGTGAGGCATTAAACCAATCACATAACCCCTTTCCACCCCTCCCCAGGGTTTAGTTTTCCTCATTTGTAAAATAAGAATCATAATTTCCACCCCTACCCATATCATAGGGTTGCTGTGACGAGTTAATGTGTATAAAATTGTTTGAACAGAGAAAGTTCTGTGAGGGATTATTTAATGTGCCAAGGGTGAATACCTGTCAAACCTTTGGGCTAGCCTTTCCGGGGTGGGTGACTACAAAGGTGGGGTGCAGAATCCTGGCTCTTGACTTTGAAGGGTGAAGATACAAAGAAAAGTAAGGAAGACTTTTGAAAAAACAAAAATATGGCACAGAGATGCATCAAAACAAGGACCCAGATGACAGAAAGCTTGAGAGAAGAAATAAGTGAGGAATATATAAGGGAAAAGCCAGGAAAAGCTGAAAAGAAAGACCAGGCCAAGGGAGTGGACCAGGCATGGCCAACGTAAAAAAAAGGGGGGAATTACCTAGGTCAGATTTTGAAGATCTATAAGAAGGGAGATTTTTTTTTTTCAATCTGGTACTAAGGGATGGAAAATTTAGGGCTCAAACAGAAAAGAGTCTGCTTCCTCAGTCATTAAGACAGCACTGCTATATGGTAGTACAAAGATCACAGGATGTGAAGCCAGAAGACCTGGGCTTCTGTCCTTGCTCTGTTAGGCCATATGCTCCAGTGGAGATAGTACTTACCCTTGGATTCAGGAAGGACCTAAATTCAGATCCCATCTCTGACAGTAGATTGGTGACCATACACACAAACCCTTTGAGCCTCAGTTTCCTTATCTATAAAATGGAGATAAATGTCATCATTGTAATGTATTACCTGTGTGGTATTTGATAAGTCATGTCATCTCTCTAGGCCTCAGTTTCCTCATCTGCAAAATGAAGAAAATAATCTGTGTAACCTCTGGTGGGTTATCTCTTTGGAAGCTAGACTCGGCCAACTGATAACTGGATCCTTCTAATTGCCTTCTTTCTAGTGGAGTGAATTCTCCTAGGCCTTACTTATCTCTTCCCTGGAGTGTTAAATTTAGGGTGTTACCTTTTTTGGTCACTGCTATCTCTTCCTAGCCCTGCTTCCCAACCCCGAGCTTCTTGGGAAATTTAATTATTTTCACTGAATTTAAACTCATTTAACTTTCAACTGAATTAAATCACTTTAGCCTAGGGGCAATATAATGGCCCTCAGGTCCACATGCTATGCTAACTCTTATGCTAAGGAATTCATATCAGATGAAAAGAAATAGTCATAATCACTCAGAACTTCCAGTTAGGAAAATTCCTATTATTTGATCAGAGGTCTGGCTCTTTGTTCTAATTTAAATTTTGTGTATTTCCCTATTCCCCTTTTCTTTGCTTAGGCTCAGTATGTAACACTAGCCAGTTTTCTTTATGAATGAAGTAAAAACAAGACTCAGGAAATGTTTGGATAAAAGAAAGGAGAAGACTTTATAACAATACCTGTTACTTGACAGGCATGGGGAGGTGAACTTGAGGACAGAGGGCATGGGTAGACAAAAATTCATCTGAAAAAGATCTTGGAATTTTAGTGGCTGTCAAGCTCAAGATGAGTCAGCTGTGGTTTTTAGTCTTGTTTTAGTCTGAACTTGGTGAGGGGAACTCTGAGAATGGAAAGTCCATGAACGTAGATCATAAACACCTCTATAACCTTGAGTCTTAAGAAAGTTGTCTGGGACACAGAGGTTGTTAAGTGACTTGCCCAAGGTCAGGACTTGAATTTAGGCCTCCTGACTCCAAGACAGTTGTCCTCTATGTCTCTCATCTGTGCGATATGGCAGCCAAAAGAATGAATGCATAGGCTTTATTAAGAGAAGCATGTCATTCAGGACTAGATGGGTGAGAAGCCTCACTGTACTCTTCCTTAATTAGAATGTATTACACATATTATATATGTGTGTGTGTATATCTGTATGTACATGTATGTACGTGTGTGTATATATATATATATAATACACAGAGCGGGAGGTGAAGGAGGGGGG